GGTTTGGACCATTGGCTCTGCCCTTTGTACGGTGGTTCCTCTCGCCTATATTCTGGTATACTCTACCTTAACAATGCAATGGTTTTTTGAGTTTGCAAACACTTATGTGCACTGTTTTCCTTGGGTTCTTTGTGCTCTTATCCTTCGATGGTTTTCAATTTATGTTTGATTTTGAGATTTTTTTGGATTCTTTGTGATATGCTCGGAATCTTAAACTTGGGGTTTTTTCGTTCTAATATGTTGATCTTGTTGGTCGAAAGCTGGTGGTATTGATGATTGCATGTACAATAAATTGGAAATACAAATGGCTAATTTGAATGTATATGAGTCATGTGTTGGTGTGTGGAGGTGGTGGTATTGGTGTATTGTATGTGTTGGTGTGTGGAGGTGTCGGTGTTTGGAGGTGGTGGTATAGGTGGTGTGGAGGTGTTGGTGTGTGGAAGTGTTGGTGTGTGGATGTGGTGACAGTGGTGGTGTGGATGTATTGTTGTGCGTAGGTGTTGGTGTTATTGTTGGAGCTATGGGTTCGCTTCGGACTGCAGCTATTCATAAAAGTAACAATAGCCATATTGCGGAAAATATTTATATTTTTTAATTTACTGAGTATTACACATTTTTTTAAAATATTTATCTATCAACTTCTTAAGAACTATTATATTTTAATAATCTGTAAGAAATTGCTTCTCATACCCAAACAAAATTGTAGCAAAACATTATTGGTTAAAAAAAACTACTAGAAATCAATATAAATAATCATTTTAGCTTCAATTAGAATGGCCTTTTAACTACTTTTGTGGAGCAAAAAATAATCAACAAAAAAAATAGTATTTGCTTGACTAACAGTTTTTTTTTTTTTTTTTCCAGTTAGGTTTAAGATATCATTTTTGTAGAAATTAATGTATTTGAAATTGCACTTGGGAAATAAGGTTTTTAAAATTAAAATAGAAAAAGTTAAAGTTGCAAAATTCACTTTCAGCTCGGTTTGGACCATTGGCTCTGCCCTTTGTACGGTGGTTCCTCTCGCCTATATTCTGGTATTCTCTACCTTAACAATGCAATGGTTTTTTGAGTTTGCAAACACTTATGTGCACTGCTTTCCTTGGGTTCTTTGTGCTCTTATCCTTCGATGGTTTTCAATTTATGTTTGATTTTGAGATTTTTTTGGATTCTTTGTGATATGCTCGGAATCTTAAACTTGGGGTTTTTTCGTTCTAATATGTTGATCTTGTTGGTCGAAAGCTGGTGGTATTGATGATTGCATGTACAATAAATTGGAAATACAAATGGCTAATTTGAATGTATATGAGTCATGTGTTGGTGTGTGGAGGTGGTGGTATTGGTGTATTGTATGTGTTGGTGTGTGGAGGTGTCGGTGTTTGGAGGTGGTGGTATAGGTGGTGTGGAGGTGTTGGTGTGTGGATGTGGTGGCAGTGGTGGTGTGGATGTATTGTTGTGCATAGGTGTTGGTGTTATTGTTGGATAGATAAATATTATTTGGTCGATCTTGGATATCTCCTACGAAGAGAGTTTCTAAAGCCTTTTACGGATACTAAGTACCTCATTCCTGGTTTAGAAAGAGCTAACAATACCGTTCGGGGTAGGAAAATATTTATTGTTTATTGTATCGATGTTTTATGCAATGATGTATATTTTTGAAACTCAATTTTATTGATAGTTCTTATGCATGTATTCTTTCCCACTTGGATGGTTGATGAGGCAACCTTGGGTAATAAATATAATCTAAATATTGGTTTTTTTTTTTTTTTTGGTATATAATGAGACATTCAACCCTACGGGTTCTTCTTGATGACTTATATATCATTATTGGTTCTTATCACAACTAAATTTCCAATGAAGGCAACCAACTAAATTTCCAACGAAGGTAACCAAGTTACAAGTGCTCGAGAAGAATAACAGAAAATTGTGACTATTTTAAGTGGGCAGATGGATTAAAGGATTTCACCGCTAAGACTGAATAAGTGTGCAGGGTTTCTCTGGAGAACGACTTATCTTATAACATACACCAACTGTATTTTAAAAATAATATTATCATATTATTAATTGTTATTTTAGTAGTCCTTTAATTTTGCATAGTCGTGCTAGTCATTATTCAGTGATGTGTTTATTTTTACTTTGTAATATTTGGACTAAATAATTTCACTCAAGTATTACTCTCAGAATGTGCTAGCATGAATTGTTTTGTTGTAAACAATATTATTGTACAATAGCATAATGATTAGTTATTCAAAAACAGCTGCAACATAATTATTTTAAAATTATAAAAAATAAATATACAACCAACTTATTCAAATAAGCTTTTGCTTTGCAGCTTCTTACCATAGTTGCTGCGCAACAAGTTTTAAATAAGCTGCAGTTGCCCCATAGAGTCCCTAATTGAAGGGTTTACTAGAAACCAAAAATTTATCTTTTTAATATAAAAAATAAAATTATAATAATCGAAAATGAAATCATGTTTCACCGCCATAAATCTTGGCACACATAAACGCAGCGCCCGTCGGGCCTATACACCAACAGCCAGGTGCCGACAACTTCATCCGCCACCTCCCCCTTGTCATTTATTCATCAACGGCAAAGAAAATACGAAATCTGGCCCTCCTTTCCACTTGTGGGAGATGCAAGCGGCGAAATAAATAAATTACCAGCCCATGAAATGCACTAAGAACAAGGCATAAAAGAGCCGCAGCAGACTCATGAGTAAACAATAAATTATTTGGAACAACAAGTACAGACACGCCTTACAACTCCCCTGACCTCATAACAACCATTTAATACTCCTCCTCAATTTAATCAATCAACCACTAAGAATTCAAATCCATTGATCCCTGTCGTCGACTTCTCCAACTCGCCTCATTGCAGAACAGGGTGATATCTAACTCTATCAGCCAGCACTCTCTGCTGCTCTATCTAAGAGAATGTATAATTAATTAAGAAAAGAAAGATGAACCCTAAACCAAGTTGAAGTTTAAGCATACCTGAAAGAGTTCATGAAGCCTGTTCTTGAGGTAACAGTACTCGTGTTCCAGCACAGCCAACAAGCGGAGGCACCTTTTGTAACGAAAGAGAAATGACGGGCACGTGAGCGGGGAAATTAATTAAAAGGGGGAGGGAAGAAGGAAGAAAGGGTAGCTAGGGTTTGCATGCGGCCAGGAGGACGCAGAAACCCATGTGGAGGAGAAGGTAGCAGAGCTTCTGCAGCAGCTTGATTTCACAATCATAAATAACGCATTTATAGAACACTTTCTAATCAATACGAAACCGAAAGCAATGTTGAGCTTGTCTTTTAAGCAAAAGCATACGCTCATATTTAATATGAGCTTAATGTTTTATAATCGCTATTATTATCACCACTTAACATTGAGGTTACAAATGCGTGTCATGAGAAGAATATTTTCTTGTACAGAAAATTTCAATAATTATATTTCCATCAAATCATGTTCCATCCATGAAGAATATTCTTTCACCCCTCTCCTTCTAACATCACATCCCAGAATGTTTTTTTTTTTTAATCATATGAAATTGGGAACCCTTTTTAGCGGCTTCAACCACAAAAAATTAGTTTTTTTTAAACTGTATTTCTAGTGGAAATTGGAATATAGATATAAGCATACCCAGCCCAGTTACAGTGCTCTGAAGCTGCGCGAAATGCGACGCAGACGTTGCGAACAAGATTGGCGCCAATGCTGGAACTGCTGCCCATTAGATGGTTCAAACAAACACCAATCTTTCTGTAATCCGTGCATTCTCGATCCGCACTAAACAATAACCAGAACGATAAAAATGGTTAATTGGAGAAATAATTTCACCCAACCGTTGAAAACAACATAATAAAAACGAAATCAATTGAGACCACAACGCCATATTCTTACAGCAGCGTTCTGATGTTTCTTAGAAGCCTCTCAGACTCTCGGAAGTAAATGGAGATTACTTCCGACACAAAGTTCGGTGAGGAGTCGTCCTGCAGCTGCTGTAGCTGCATGAAATGCTCGTCGAGCACTCCCTACACAGATTCAATGGCGGTAAACAAGCAAGTGGCGTAGATATTAACTGAAAGATTCGTTCTTGTTTTGAAAGGGAATGCTGAGGAGAGATGAAGAGAGTGAGAAGATGAAGTAGGAACCTGGTGGAAGAGCAAGGCTAGAAGGCGGCTCATGTCATCTTCCCACCGGCCGGCACCCATCCCCAACATCCACACTGGAAGACCCGTCTTGAAAGCTGGCTTCTTCTTCTTCTCTCTCTCTCTCTCTCTCTCAAGCTAGGAAGCAGAGTGAGTGAGATATATATGGCGGCGGAGTGAGCTAGAAAGCCCGTCTGAATAGAATTTAAAGGCCACGGGTATTCGAGTATCCCTTAATTAAATAACAGGGGACCCGAGCTTGAATAAAGGAGCAAATGGCATGAAAGTTTTCCTGTTGGGTAATTTAATCAAACAGTTGAAGGGCGTGCGTCGGGGCCCGAGATCGAGGTGATTGCCAAGCATCTTTGGGACCGGGTGCAGACCGGTGACTGTACATCGCCGGCCACCACGCATGCGCTCTTCTCTCTCAGCCCCCCTTACCTCTGCTTTCCCTTTTTGAATATTCCGATGAAAACTTGCTTTCCGCCGACCATTGTCTGTCGCCGGCGGCCTTGAGCTTTTCTTCCTCGGGACCTTGTTTTCTGCGTAGAAATCAACTCACCTTCTTCTCGTGTTCAGTCCTATCCTTTGTATTCTCCTGGCTTTAGCTTTCCAGCTGTCGCTTCTTCCTTTTTCTTTTGAAGTTTTCTTTCGCTTTCGTGCGCGGAGCTCTTAGGTTTATTGCAGATACGGCCAACACCTTTTTTGTGTGCTTCATGTTCTTATGAGTATGGACGCTGCAGACGGCGGATTCGTCGATTAGCTACAGCTTTTGGCCACCAGCTGTGGAGAGGATTGAGTTTGGAGAATGATAATGGTGTTTGATGAGATTTTAGAAAAGGGAAAGGGCAAAAGAAGAAGTTTTGGATTTAACTATATATTATGAGTTTTGAAGTATTTTACTATTTTTATTTGCTTGTAAGTAGGGCTGTCAAAACGGCTCGTTGTTCGTTAAGTGAGTTTTGAAGTATTTTACTATTTTTTTTTGCTTGTAACATACACCTTTTATTTTCAAGAGATTGTAAGAAGCTCGTGTTCGGCTCGTTAATTTCGTTCGACTTGTTTTGGCTCGAAATATTACTCATCAATATATATATATAAAAAGTTGTATTTTAAAAAATCTAATTTACTACAAGGCTACAAAGATTTATAATCAATTAAAATATTGATTAAGAAAATAGAATAAAAATTATTAAATTAGATTCAAATGATGTTTTAATATAAATAATAATTTTTAAATCTTGTTCAAATCCTTATCGTCTTATAACTATATGATTAGGGTAGTTAAAAGGACTCTTTGTCGTGAACAGCTCGTGTATGGCTCCCTTCTCAACACA